GGGCGTACGTCGTCATGGATCGCGCTGGCGGTGGCACGTTGCTCGACTACGTCACGCGCCGCGGCCCGCTGCGGGAGGCCGCCGCCGTTGTTGTGGTGCGGCAGCTGCTGCACGCACTCGCCCATCTGCACGGCTTCGGCGTGATGCACCGCGACATCAAGACGGAGAACGTGCTCATTCGTGCGCCCACCGACGCGAAGGGACCACCGACGAGTGTCTGCATCTGTGACTTTGGCTTCGCGACAGGAACGGAGCCAAACAACGAGTGTGTCGGCTCACCACAGTACAGCGCACCGGAGATTGCCCGCATCGGCATGGCGCAGGGGCGGGCAGACGTGCCTACGCGAGGCTACACAGAGAAGTGCGATGTATGGTCGCTGGGCGTCGTGACCTACGCCCTCCTCAGCGGGATGCTGCCCTTTGACGGCCGCACGCCGACGGATGTGTTTGCGAGCATTCTGCGCCGCAACATTCCGTTCCAGCAGCCCATCTGGAGAGACGTCAGCGATGAGGCGAAGCGCTTCATTCTCTTTCTCCTGACGGCGGATCCGGATCAGCGTCCCTCCGCACGCCAGGCCTTGGGCCATGCATGGCTGGTGATGTGAAACTACTTACGCCACTTCCTCGTGTTTGGGTACGCGTTGGAGTGTGCAATGGCGAACAAAAAGACAAAAATGAATACAGAATGGACTCGTGGGACCTCTCGCTGCATGTGGGCATCATGTTATACATTTTTTCGTGCGTCTCGTGCATCTTGAGTTTCTTGTTTTGTTTCTTCGATTGACTTTTCTTACTTGTTTCTCTAATTGTGCGTGTGGATGGGTGTGTGTGCGTGTGTGAAAAAGAGTGAGAGAGAGAGAGAAAGTTAGAAAGGTATAAGGCCATGTTCTGCTGTATGTCTAGCCGTGTGCCGCACGAGCCGGTGGTGTCAAGGCACTCCGGCTGCTTGTACGAGCGCTCCCTCATCGAGAAGTACATCGCCGAGCACGGCCGCTGCCCCGTCACCGGCGAGCCGCTGCAGAAGGATGACTTAATAGCCGTGCGCCCAACGCCGCTTTCGGGGCCAGCGCCCAGCAGCGATACCATCCCCGCCACGCTGGCGCGGCTGCACGCGCAGTGGGACGCGTTTATGCTCGAGCAGTTTTCGCTCCGGCAGCAGCTTGCACAGACGCAGCAAGAGCTGGCACAGGCGCTGCACCAGTACGAGGCGGCCTGCCGTGTCATAGCGACGTTCATTAAAGACCGCGAGTCGGCAGGGGCGCACACCAACGCGTCAGCAGAGAAGAGCAGCTTGCACGAGACCAGCGGGCCGGCACTGCCGGAGGCGGTGCTTCAGCAACTTGGCGAGTACGATGCGGAGCAGCGCGCAAAGCGAAAGTCGCGTGTGCCCCCGCCAGCTCTTGCCTCCGAGAAGAAGGTGCGCAGCTTCGTCGAGGATGGCTCCATCGACGTGGGCAAAAGTGCATGGGCTGTCGCCAGTGGCGCGGACAACACCGTCTTTGTCGGTCTTGACGACGCCACGCTTGTCCAGTACGACACGGCGGAGAGCCGCATGCGTGCTGCTGGGCTCGGGCACGAGGGGGCGGTGCGGCACGTCGTGTCGTGCGGTAGTGGCGCCGCCCTGCGCATCGTCTCCGCCTCCGACGACGCGACGCTGCGCGTGTGGAGCTCCGAGGCGGA